CTTCTTAAAAATCAGGCCTTCCTTAATCACAAATTCTTATGCATACAATATCATTTCATATAGTGGTAAACACTCTCAGTATTGCTTATCTGAAAATGTCTTTGTTTCATCCTTGATCTTGAAAGGTTGTTTGGCTGGGTACAAAAAAATATCTAGGTGGATGGCTCTTTTCTCTTCTTTTACTCTGTGGTGTTCTGAAGATTCAAGTGTTGATTTATTTTTACTAATCCTGCTAGGTACTCACTGTCCTTGCTGGTACCAATATTTGGTGTCTTTTATCACTTCTGGAAAATTATCAGACAATTTTTCTTCACCTATTGCTTCTCCTATAACTTTCTTTTCTGTCCTTCCAGAAGACATTACTTAGGCTTTCTCACTGTAGCTGCTATGTCTCTTCACCCCTTTTTTCGTTTTCAGTCCCCTCTCTTTCCTGAATTTTGGGTAATTTCTTTACATCTATTTTCCAGTCCACTAATTCCCTTTTCAACAGTATCTAATCTACCCCATGATCTAAGCACTAAGTTTTCATATAAACAATTATATTTTTTTATTTCTTAAAGTTCCATTGATTCTTTTTTCAAATCTGTTTGGTCATTTTTATAGGTTCATGTCTGTTGTTCTTTTTTTTTAAATTCCATATTTTATTTCATTAAACATTTCATATATACTTTTCTTTATTTTGTGATAGTAACGGCAATATCTGATGCTCTTGGGATGTAAGCTTTTTATTTCTGTGAACTCTTACTCCATAGTGGGTTGTTGACTTGTGTATTTGGTGATCTTTAATTGGAAACTCATGGAAAACTTTGGAACCTAAAATGATCATGCTTTTCTCAAGAGAACATTCATATTTGCTTCTCCCAGGAGTCAAGGGGCACTAGCAACCCCCTAAATCCTGGTTCCCCACAGCCTCAATGCTGACACTGATTTTGCTCTCAGGAGAGTCTCCACAGGTCCCACTTCAACTCATTTTGGGGACCAGGGAACTCAGAGGCTTCCCTACTTTCTGGAAAATTATGCTTTACATCAAATCTAGTTGTGCATAGGGAGGGTGTCCCTCAGAATATTCAGACTCACACTGCAGAATCAGGATGCCTGTTTACATTTTCTAAAGATCACACTTGCTGCTCCATGGAGAAAGGATTACAGGGGGCAGAGTGGATTCTGGAGAAACAGAGAGGGACCAAGGTCAGTCTTTCAGGTGAGAAATGATGGCTTTACCCAGAGTGGTGGCAGTGAAAATGAGCAAAAGGGTATGAATCCAAGTTAGTGGAGTATCTGCTTAATAACTTGTGTCTCTTTATTTATAGGTATTTCACAATCACACACAAAAATGTGTGTTTAGCCACAAACTTTCATTAGCTTGTAATTTCTCTTCCATTGTTCATACGTTAGATTTGCAAAAAGTGAAAAGTTTGATAATATCCAGTGTGGCCAAATGTGTAAGGACATAGATACTTTCCTATATCATTGGTGGACGGTAAATTGAAACGGCATTTTTGGAGGGCAATTAGGTCAAATCCATCAAGATGGTAAATGCACATACAATTTCTTTGTATGACACCCACAAAACTTATACCAAGCTACATTAAAAGGATGTCCAACGTATTGTTGTATGTTAAAAAACTGACCACAATCTAAATGACCATCTACAGAGGACTGGTTAACTAAACCAAGATTCATCTGTACAATGGAATACTATTTTGTCTTTTCCACAAAGGGATAGGTCTAAGATGGAAAGATATCCGTGATAATTTAAGTGTAAAAAGCAAAATGCAGAACGATGTGTATAGAAAGATTGCATTCATAAAAAAAATTTAACAGCCAAATAAAAAACATATACATTTATATGCAGAGGTCAGCATGAATGCATTTTCTGGGAGGATGCACAAGAAACTGTTAAAATGATTCACTTTGGAGGGAGCAACCAGGGCTTCGGGGTAAAAAGCAACTTTCGCTTTTCATTTTACAACTTTTTAATACATTTTGAAAATTCCACTGCAAGCCACATATTGCTTTTGTTTGAAGAGATTAGCCTGTTTTTATTGGGCTCTTCTTGATTAGAGCACCTGCTTTCCCTGGTTATTACATCTCCTGTTTGTGCCACTTCATCATTTCCTCGGGTTCTTCCTTCAAAGACCGTGAATACGTCTTAATCCCTCCAGTCCTAAAAGGCCAACCTTCCTACAAGATTTCCAAAATCCATTATTAAGTTAAAAACATAGATTTCCTATATATACATAGGACAGTCCCATTTTTGTTTAAAAAAAAATCGAATAAATGCAGGTATGTGTGTGTGAAAAGAAAAAAAGTCTAGAAAGATTTATTCATTCATTCAGCAAAAATTTATGGTGTGTCTGCCATGGGCCAGATATTGTTGTGGAGATGGAGGTTCAAAGGGGACCAGGGTCCCTGTGCTCGGGTTCTCTTGACAATCCAGACTCTAGAATCCAGAGGGTAACATGTACCAGCAGGTTAACGGCAAGGAACTTTGCATGAGGCAATGGGCGTGAGCTTTTATATCACCTTCATGCTTTTCTATATCTTCTGATTCTTTTTTTTGCCCTCTGTATGGCATGAAAGAACTTACATAAAAATAATAATTAAGCCATAAAACACAATCTATCGCTTTGGTCTTGTCTCTCTTCTCCAAACCCCTACACTCATCTGTGCAATTGTTGAGACGCTGATACTAAAACATTTTTCATTGTGTATCTGGATATCAAATTTAAGTGGGCATCTCGTGTTGTATCTGCCACGCTACTTATATACAACCTGCCCCCTGGCACTTCTGCATCTCTCGGGGTGGTCCTCCTTGGCCCCTGCCTGGCCCTTCCCGTGGGGCTGCTTTCCTTGGGATTCTGCCTCTGGCTAACTTTACCCTCTGTCCTCGCCCCGCGTGTGCCTTGTAGACAGATGTGTGGCCCCAGCCAGCTCCTCATGACTGGCTCTTCCTGGATGCCCTGTCAGCTCCTCAAATCGCACACCCCCAAAACGGAACTCTCCCCAGGTCTCCATCTCAGGCATAGCACCACCAGCCTCCCCAGTTTCCTGGCTGAGAACCCGCATAGCCACGACACCTTCCTCCCTGCCTTCACCGCACGTCTCAGCAGCCCCAGGCTGGCTTTCCCATCTCCAGCACCCCACTTCCCCAGCCTCGCCTCCACACCTGGGACCTGAGGTGGTCTCCCACGGGTCACCTTAAGCCCCTCCTTCCCCTCCGCGACATACACTAGGTCATCCTCAACACAAGCCAGCAGGGCCTTAGCGCCTTGGTCCCCAGCCACCTGTCATTGTGTGCCACCAACAGCAATTTGGCCACATCTGATTGCTACTGCCCTATAATTGGGTCAACGTTTCTCTCCAAATCAACAAACTCATTTTCACTTATTTTCAAAGATAACCTATCCTTATATGCTTTAGCCTCATGCTAACAAAATCCCAGGCTGGATGTGTCAGTTATCCAGCTGAGTCGAAATAGACACGTAACTACTCAGATGTAAACTGTCCATCACCTACGCCTGGAATCACCGGCAGTGCCACCCAGGTAAGCACGGGGCCCTCGGGAACGCACTGCCTTTCAAAACGTCCACCTGCTCTCCGCCCCTGCACCGCGGCGCTCCCTCTGCTTGAAGCACGCTCCCCGCTCCCTCAGTGCCCGCAGGCCTCCCGTGCAGCTCCTGCCGCCAGCTAATGACGTCTGGCTCAGCCGGGCTGCTGGTTCACACCTCCCTGCTACGTGCTCAGCCTCTGCCCTGCGCCCATTCGGCTCTCTCCACCTGTCAAGCAGTTCCTACTCCCTATGGCTCTCAAGGAGCCCGAGGGCGGCGAGGCTCCTCCTGGCGGCCCCCTCCTCGTGCCTCCCTTCAGCAAACCGGACCAGAACACCTCCACTTATCCACTGGGTCCTCACACCGAGCCTTCAGGGTTGCCCTGGCTCAGAGCATCAGACCCTGAGCCCCTGCAGAAGCATCTTTGCACCCCGTGGTCAGGCACACAGTAGGTGCTCTGTCGTGCAGAGACCAGGGGCTGTGTGTGCCTTTGGAAGGAGTGGAGTTTCCAGGTAACAGATGGGAGGACCCAGTGGATAAGTAATCGTGGGCTTTGCAGACTCTAGAGCTTCACAGAAATGTGCGCCTTATTATTAGGATGGTAACAAGATGCCCGATGACTAATCCACTGTGCTCATCCAGTTAGCACTGCTGCTGTCCCCTCGGTGAGCGGCGTGCTCTCTCCCCAGGATAAGAACGCAGCGATCCAGGGTCGCAAGGGAGGGCAAGAATTACAAGCCTGTTTACTTAACATTTAGGAAGCCGGCATATTTTCCTGTACCTTGTCTGCGACACTAAAGCCAATATTTGCGTCTTTGGGATTCTATTTGTATGGTAATTTAAAAATAGGGTTCGGACTTACAGCCGGCCTTTCTCCCGAAACTCCAAAAGCACATTAATTTTCTAGACAGTAAAATAATGCCGTAATTAAATATTACCATTTCTTTTAAAATAAAATCCAGTAACTCCCAACAAAATGGGTTTTTCGAAACATGATGTAGGTTCTCCCTCAAAATCGCACTCTAGGGAAATTCCTTATTTTGAATGTATGGAAGAGACCACGAACTTAATCTCAACACAGTGTAAGAAAAATTGACTTGTTAAATGACAATAATTTTCTCACATTTAAAATCTCAGGGCCTCCTGTCATGGCTGACCCAAAGGCCCCCCTGTATGCGTGTTTGGGGAAAGGCCCCGAGGAGCCACGACGGTTGGTTTCACTGTTGATGAGGCTTCCCAGATGCCCTTTCTCGTGGTTCCAACCGGAGTGTTTGTTCTGCGTTGCAAACGTCTTCGAAAGAAGGAAAGGAGGCGAGGCTAGGAGAGCCCGTGACCCTCGCCCTTCGGTCTCCAAATACGTCCTCTGTGCAAGCGGAACCCAAGACCTCCCACGTGGAAGGAAGCGTGCGCCCAGGCGCTGGCCTTCCAGGAGCTCCCTCGTCGCCAAAGCCCAGGTGAACGGAGGGAGCCCGGAGGCCCTCGGCTGGAGGCCGGGTCTGGAGGAGGCGGTGCCGGGTTTCATCCGGGGCCGCCCAACCGCCCCAGCCAAAGCTCAAGAGGGCCCCCTTGTGGAAACTCCCGAGAACAGCCCCGTAAGTGATGCACTTCCCCCAACGCTGGGGCTGCTCCCCGGACCCCCGCCCACCCACGCACAGACCCAGAGGCACTCAGTGGAGACCGACAGACTCCATCCTGCTCTCCTCGAAGCCTAAATAATTCTGTGAGACAAGAAGACTCTTGGGCCCTCCGGGGAAGACCTGCTGGAGACCCAGTTCCTAAGGCCCCGTCAAGAGTTAAGCTCCTGAAGCGGCCGCCCCAAGATCCCTACTCCTGCGCCCTTCTCCGGGAGTCTTCACCGCGATTACACAAACGTCTTCTTTCTTATTGAATGTGTCAAAACCTTGTGATTACCTCTGCCAAATTCCTGTTCTGTAGAACAATGGGAGCTTCAGTCTTCTGCCAAGAGAGCAAAGAAGGATTCAATCCAGCGGGAGACTTCTAGACACACGTTCTGTTTAGCAAACACTGACTTGTAACCACATCCCTCAGGGCAGGCACCAGAATGTTCCGCGAGACCGAGCCAGGTTCAGAAGCCCGGAGAGATCTCACATTCTATCTCTCCAGGCCCCAACTCCCCCTCGCCGCACCCCTCAAAGCACAGGGCTGAACGTGGGGATCCATGGACAGCACTGACCAAATTTGGTATAAATTAGGAACATCTAAGGGGCCAACATGCAGATCTGGGAACACAGGCGCTAAAGCTGAGCGAAGAAGGCCTTGTCTCCAAGACACCAGAACATCTGGGTGAAAAGGGAAACACTTCCATCAATCACCCTGATGCCTTGGCTATTTGGAAACAGCTGGGCTTTGGCTGGAATGTTCCAGTTTTCATCTGGGTGGAAGCCCCGGCCAGAGCGAGGAATAATTAGTATTATCATGGGGCTGAGGGAGTTTTGATGTGAACGGATTTTGTACTGGAACAATCCTAAACAGACAGACAAACAAACAAAAACTGGCTGATGAGCCAGGCCTGGTGGGCTAGACTGTCTTCTAAACCTGCCATTCCTTTCCCATCCCGTGAGCTGTCCGTTTCCACTTCCATTAGCAGGAAATGCTCAACACAGGCCGCAGGGAGATAGCTACATGGTCAGCCACTCCCCTTGACAAAATGTTCTCAATTTTGGAAACACAAACATAAAACAGTCCCCTTCTCCAAGTGGCACCAATTAGGTCCACCTTTTCCACCGACCTCCCTGGTCCAGCCCAAGCCGGGACTTTTAACCCAGAATGGGGGAAACAGTGACAAACCAAGCTATGTCCCTTCAGTAGCCTTTCCACACACTGACATCCGAGTCTGAGGCCCTCCAGCGCCTCAAGGGCTCAGAATCTGTTTTTCCGGGCACGTGGTCCCTCCAGAATTCCTCAGGGCAACTTTAAACTCTGAGCTCACCAAGCAAAAGAAGGCACGTGTCACAGTCCTAGGATGCTGCAGGGCTGGGAGGTGGTGTGCACTTTTTTCTAGAGCACGCCATTTCTGAGTTTCCCAAGAATGCAAAGTCCATCCTGCCTCACGCCCACGCCCCAGCCTTGAAGGCAAAGACTCTCAGATTAGATGGATAATGAGATTCAATTATGGCCAAATGAGGGACATATGAGGAATGTGAAGGCCAGCCATCCACACCAGAGGGGAAGTTTAGCCTCCTTAGAATTCAAAGTTTGTCTTCATATTTCTGTGATTTGCTGGTACTGTCAGAGCGTGTGCCAATCTATAACCCTCTCCGGGGAGTTTAAACGGAGACTCTGCGTGCCTTTTGTGCAGTGGCTTCACTGGGAAGCACATCTTTTGCTGTAGCAACACAGTGACAGCTGCCACTTCAACAGCCGGTTTCTGAAGCTTGTTGGCGAAATATTCTCTGTGTGCTGTTGCACACCAGCGCATCTTGATTTGTAAAAGGCGGCCGCCTCTAATCAAGAGAGGTTATTTTTTGGGGTGGGGATTTTTATTTAAATGTGCATAAGCTTCCAAGTGCAAACATTCTAGGTGAATTACCTCAAGCTAAGGATTTTGAAATAAACCAGAGGGTTTCAGACTTTTTTCTTTTTTTAAGCAAGAGAACCCTTTTTTCAAAGCAGATCTTAATTAGCCTCCCAGTACATAAATCAGAGCAAATGGCGGAGGCTGCAGGGGCTAAAGCACAAGTTGGGAGGCCAGAGTCCCACTCACTGTGTCTCCCCTTCTCTCCTGAAAAAAACACCCGTGGGCTTCAGAAAACAGCTTGAAACCTCTGATGCAGCGAAATTTGACACACACATCCCATTCTTGAGCTGGAGCTATGCTTCCAGTACAGCAGCCGCCAGCCACATATGGTCCCTGAGGTCCTGAAATGTGACCCATCCAAACTGAGTTGTGCTGTGAGTGTAAATATATGCCCGATTTCGAAGACTTGTATTTGAGAAGGCATGTAAAATATCTCATTACTAGTTTTCATATCTATTACATGTTGAATTTATACATGTTGAATGTATTACATATACTATTGGGGGCTGGATAAAAATATCGATAAAATTAATTTCACCTGCTACTTTTTAGCCTTTTTTTTTTTTTTTTTTTTTTTTTTTTGGGGTCCGTG